CCCTGAACCCCCAAACCTCTAAACCATGTGGTCCCGGCACCTGTAGTGCGGAGCCCTGCAGCTGCCCGTCCCAATGGCACCAGGCCAGCAGAACCCAAAAGCGCCAGACCACCTTTCCGCCAAGAGGTTAGGTGGACCCCCTACCCGATTATATAGGGGATTATATAAGTTAAGGATAGTGGAAAAGAAAATGNNAATGGAAGCTACGATTTAGGGTTATAATATGTAGGGGTTTAGGCGACTGTGAGGAACCCCCCACCGTGTAAAATAGGAATATAAGAGGACCCTAATATAGTTACCATTATACCGTACAGTCACTATTGCACCTGATTTTCTCGTCCGGATCCTTGTCAAATCCCAGTGGAACTGCCCATTGCGAGACCAAGACCGAGATGAAATCTCCCAGGGACTCCAATAAATGGAAACTTGCATGGGTGCCAAGCTGGCGAAGAAAGATGGACCGGCTCGTACTAGGTCAGGGGCTCAGATGCTCCAAAGTTATGACCATACTGCGAAGAGTCCGTTGCTCCCTCTGCTGGGTGCCAAAATTATGTGCAACATGACTCTTGGGCTGTAGCCGTGGGGTGATTGACAATAACAGACGTCCAACAGAACTTTTGCATCTTGCTTGCGTCCGAAGAAATGTGTGCAGCACGCCACGTGCTGCCACACGCTCAAATGCTTAGAGCATTCCCAGCCCAACAAAAAGGCTCAATTGCAGCTGCACCCTACACCCTCCATAGCCCAACATAGCACCCTCAAAACCATAATATTGGTAATTACGTTGGCCCCTTTTTGTTTAATTACCCAACGTGTTTTTCATGCAGGTCCCAGGGCCTGCAGAGCTTCGGCAGCTCTATATGCAGAGGGATTTTATCCCAAACAGTGGAGAATCAAATGAGAAGAATATGGAAAAAGAAATGGACACTTCTACATTTAGAGATCATATAGGGCTCTGAGAAGAGCCCTGCACTTGCACCCTCTTTGCCCGCCTACTCGAAAGGGCGCTCGCAGCGCTGCGTAGGCGCCAAGGGCGCCGCCCGCCGAGAAGCCCACGAGGATCAGACGCTGGGTTGGGGCCCCAGAGATACTGGCCTCCTTTGCAATGCGGTATATAGGGGTTTAGGGTTTGGGGTCGGTCCTTTGCAATGGGGGTATATAGGGGTTTAGGGTTNNTTAGGGTTAAGGGGTTTAGGGGGTATGAAGCGGCTTAGGCTTTACGGATTCATGTAGGTATGATGGGGTGGAAACTGAGGCCACACAGTGGTTTAAAGTGTTAGGGGCACTGGGGAGCATTTTGAAACCCAAGCATTTACATATTCTGATAACTGTTCTTACTGTAGGTTAAATGCCTACTAGGCGTACAATTCGGGGAGGGTACAGTCATGTTTCCTTTGGGGGGGGGGGCGCGGGGCTTGGAAGATAGCACGAGTGGTATACAGGGATGAGAGGACATTGCACGACTTTTTCAAGAAAGACTATTCTGCGGGCTGCCGGAACATATCCAGTAATATTCTTGACAGCAGTAGCAACAGCAGCCAACAGCAAGAAACTACAGTTCCCATACTTGATTCATGCCCGACTTTCAAGAAGCACGCCCTCGAGGCTTGTGATGCAGCTGCTCCTCTCTCAAGGACAGGCATCTGTAGCAAGATCATACTGATGAAAACTTTTCTTACTGGTTCTTAGTAAGGGAGTAAGAGAAGATAATACCTATTTGATATATTCCCGTACTCCCTACGAAGAACCAGTAAGTTGTTGGATGTGTTGGGGAGAGGATGTGACCACATTCGTACCATCGCACAAAAACAGCGATCCCCGTGGCAACTGTAACAACTTTTTGACACCCTGAAGATCACCCCTAAACACTAACCCCAAACCCTAAACCCTGAATAGCACTCTCAAACCTCTCAACAATTGGGATTAATGTTTCCTCCAATTCTTCAGCCTGCATTCCCCAGCTCAAAATTGAATGCAGCTGCGCCACTGTCTCAAGGACGTTGATGAGCTCCTTAGCGCTGGCCTCGAAGGGTTGGGTTTTAAGGTTTAGGGGTTCAGGGTATTGGGGATTAGGGTATTGGGCTTTAGGGCTTGGGAGTTTAGCTTCGACATGGGGTCTGGGGTGTAAGTGTCAGACTGGAAGGCTTGTAGGAGAAACTGCAAATAAGGTAGAAGCTCAATGCCTGCCTCCTACAAGTGTACCAAATAACCCTCCCCTCCGAATTCAGTAATCCCAGGCCCCTGATAGCAGCTAGAAAATAGAACGGATTCCCAGAAAGTTAGCCGCGCTTACCCACTACTAGGAGATTGAACCCAGACCCCTGGGAGGATCTAGAAAGTAGAATCCCCATT